GAGCACCTCAATCAATAGTTTTCAGCCATATGGCACTCATCACCATCAGAAGACGACATAATCACTCCACACGCTTTCGATGTCTTCTCGGTTTGTAGGTATATATCTGAAACAGCTGTTGACCCGATGGGAACTATGTGGGTCTGGCTGGGATAGATTGCAATGCCTCTACACAATGCAATACCGTGGATTTCAGATGCCTCTATTATGACGGATATGTTAGAGATGGTATCCTTGTCAAGACTGGGACGGCTGGATCTGGAACAACATATCAGCAGCTGCCGCCTATCGTCACGGTAAGTAAAAAAGAGGGACGCAAAATAGAGGTTGAAAAAATGACATAAATATGATGGTATAGAGTTTGAAAGTGCATTACCAAGTTGGTGGTCCATGAATGGACAGGGATGTAAACGGAGGTAAAATTACAAGAGAAAAAGTAAGATAGAGGGGAGGAAGAGAGAGATAAGGAGAGAGAAAGAGAAAGAGAGAGATAGAGAGAGAGAGAGAGAGAGAGAGAGAGAGAGAGAGAAAGAGAAAGAATAAAGAGCTGGGTGAGATAAAAGCTACACAACTTGGCATTCATTACAAAAGTGATGTCTATTCAGTAATCACGAACAAATTAACGAGAGTGGAAATTATACTAAGTATGCGAGTGGAATATTTTACGAGAATATTATAGGGAGTGGAAATTGTACAATGGAAGCAAACAGTTACTTTGTGGCATTTGTGCCCTTCACCGAGCGCAATTAAACTTACGCTGCATTAAACAACTTGAAACGCACCGTAACCAATTAAACTGTAATCCTTGACACAGCTTTGGAGCATAACGCGATCCCACTTGTTTGACCCTAATTGACAGCTACCTGAAGCTACGTGTTCAAATCAATTATGTCGATTTTGGAATGAAACATTCCGAGGTATTTTAATCCAACCCAACAAACAAATGCCGTCATCCAGGTATAAGCTAGTCTCATAGTACTGCAAGATAAATAAATTGCAATTGACTTTTTTAAGAGGGTATAGAACATTTGAAATGATTGAAAGGACATTTTGCTGGAGTGACTCTACTAGGTCATACTTAGGTCATGTATCTTTCATTATGAGTATTGAGTAGCGTAGCCACTTGAGTGGTTCATTCCAATTACGTATTTCGTGCACTTTTTCTAATATATTAACATCCTCTGAAAGTAAAATTGAGCAATATTTCAAAACTTTTTATGTGCCGTCGACGATAATACGACAAGCATAAGTGTATCACCATAATCGCTGCTGAAGCAATATCCGCACCCAAATTAGAACGTCATATCATTTCAACACCCCATCCCTCAAGCAACAACCCTACATTCAGGCTTACCCCCCCCCCACCTCCTCTGACCCATCATTCCTACATACCCCCAAACACCACTATTACCACATCTACCCTCCTCTATTTTGATTGACGTCTAATCGTCTAATCCTCACTCCTCAGAAACCCCTCAGGGCATGAGTGTCAGCCACCAGCTGAAGGCAGCGTTCGTCCGTTCCGCTTGACCGCGCACGCTCGCGAGAGCTTACACCTGGCTAGCCCCCCTCCCCTCCTGACCCATCCCCTTCCCCCGCCTCGCTTCCGCAACCCCAGTCAGCTCCGACAAGCAATATATGCACCCACTGTGTCGAAAGACCCTGTCGCGCGCTGCCCTTGGTTTGTGTGTTTAATGTCACTGAGGTGCGGGCAGTCTGAGGTAGCTTTGGAGATATCTCACGTGTTTCGTGTGAAAAAGTTACTGTTGTGTGACTGATATGTGAACACTTGGGGTGGTCCGAATAGACCGTTGGAATGTAAATCACTGAATAGATATAGCGAGAAACATTCGGTAGTTTTTAGAGTTACATCCCTTGTGGTTAGGTGTGAGGTATGGTTTGAAGAGAGAAAGTGGTTCATGTTACTACATCTGCATTGTCAGTTGAATGTCTTGGGGCGCAGCAGGAATCATGGTGTTCGTTTGTTTATTGTTTGACGGCTAAATTGCATGATTTCTCCAGATGAAAAGCAGTTATTGTACGGATGTCTCAGGTATGTAAATATGCGCAGCTGTCAGCATTTTGTGGTAACTGACAACACTGAGAGTCATCTGGCAACATCTGGCCGACTCATCATTTAGCACCACGTGACAACTACAGCAAAATCACAGCACATGCTCGTAAAGCACAATTCACATGGTAAACGAGAGCGACCTTACACAAATTAACCGTACGATTTGGTCGCTACGAGCTTATTAGACCGTGTGACCGCACTAACCACGGTATTTCATGGTCTGTATGAACCCAGCTTTTATTTATGACAGCGTGACACTGCGCGTATGAGGGCTGGATTAAACTGTACCGTATTGAGACATCTTGTGATTCCCACACGCATAACCTTCCAGGCGGTGGGGGGCATTTTTTTGCCCCCCCCCCCTTTAGTTTTTTCAATATATCTCGAGAACCGCTGCGCCGATCGTCACCAAACTTTCAGTACCTTCCCGGGAGCAGCTAGCGCACATGGTGACCAAAATTTTTTTCCAAAGGCCGCGTTCCTATTTCCTAACCTATGTTTTCCAATAGGTTGGCCGCTAATGACATCTTTTCCTTTATCCGTTCGATCAACTTCCAAGCGATTTACTCGACCTGACATTAATTCCAACTAGTCCTCTCTAGTCCTTACATCTAGTCAGTTGTCTAGGACGACACTCTTGCGCTGCTTTATCTTACCTTGCTCTTTTATATCGAGTCTTTTACTTTTTAGTCTTCGTATCTAGAATGCTCTCTCTTTTGACACACTTGTTTTATTAAAACGATGTTATGGGCGCAAAATGACCTAAGTAGTCGGCGCGCCCTAAAGCCCCAATTAACAAACAAACAAGACGTCAGAGTGACGTCATTTTTGCCATTTTCGACCCAAAAAAAGGTTTCGCGGGAAGAGCTGTCAGGCCTACAGCTTTAGAGATACAGAAAAATAAGTCCGACATAAAAGGTGTGAAATTAAAAGGGCTACAAAACTGTTATTTCGGTTTTCGAATTTTTGGGATTTTGACCCCCAAAAATAAAAAAATAGATTTTTTGAATATAATAGCCAAAAAATCCAAAAAGTTTTTTGAATTTAGAAAAAACGGAATATATGTGATAGTCCCTACCGCCTTCTATCTACATACCAAATTTGAGATCGATATCTCTTTTTTTTTGGCCAAGTTATAGCGAAAAAAAAAAAACTGTTCAAAATTGATGACGTCAAATTTTCAAACTCAATTTTTAGCAATTCTGGACCTCGTAGCGCAAAACAAAGACCACCATTAGACTCCCCGTGACGAGCTGCATCGAATCGATACCCATTTTATGCAAAAATATCAACTTTGAAATTTGACCTTTTTGACCTGACCTTGACCTGACCTCCACCAGAAAGTGACCTAAACCGTACCTGATGGTCTTATAACCAACACCATTGAGTTGTAAATGAAAAACTGGCCATAAAACATGCATCGCATAACCTTAGTAAAGTTGGGCTCATGTGGTGACCCTTGGTGACCTTTGGTGACCTGACCTGTGACCTGACCTGGTATGACCAGTGACCTCTAATAGCAACATATGTACTAGACAACTGACGCCTTATCGCTGATTTTCGACAAAATGCGTTTTACTCGGTGTTATACCGCTTTCCCTAGAAGCCCCGTGAACGGTGAAACATTTTATCTTTGACCTGACCTGTGACGTCATCGGTGACCCCGAGGTCAATGAAGTTTGGTTTCGTTCGACAAATTTGACAAGGCTATCGAACGCCGTTTGAATTTTCCGGATCCGTCCAGTAGTTTCGGAGATACGGGGGGGGGGGCAAAAAAAAATGTCCCCCCCCAAACCCACCGCGCGGAAGGTGACTGGTAGGCCCACCGCCTGCCGGGATAATTATTGTGGCCGTACCGGGTGGGATGGGAATAAAAAGTCACGAGGCATCATCGTGAATAAATGTGGGTGGTTAACTGAAGTGGAATGTTACAAAAGTGAGACGTTATCAATAAGCGTGACCGAATTGCAGTGAAGGACATAAAGGGCATAAAGGGCCTTCACTGAGGGTCCTTTATGACACTGTTACCAGCATTTAAGCTGCACAGCCCACATTCTATCCTGGAGTATCTGTTTTGTATCATGATGATATCCCGACGGTATAATGGTGACAAACTATTCACTTTGTATCGTTTCCGATGGATTCAAGCGAGGATATGAGGCAGAGGCTATACGAAGGGGAACATTCGATTTCGCTCACTACTAGAACTGCTACATGCATCATGTACGTTGCCAGTAGCATGCAACGTAGGGTGCATGGACAATAGCCATGTCACTCTTGATTAATGACCAGTAATAGGTAATCTATGATTGCAATCTGTCCGATCGTTCCAGACATTATTCAGCTCAGCCTTATGATGAATAAACTTTCCTTTGGCACGCTAAACTATCTGGTTTTTAGTACAGACTTATTCTGCATGAAAGAGAAAAGGATCAGCCGTCACCAAAACCACGAGTCCGATTCGAGTCCGATGTACAACGAAGCCATCCATCAGATGATGAGCAAATGTTACCAAATGCTACCAAATGTAGCAGTGTCGTGACCGGGGTCGTACGAATCACATCAAACGGTAATATTTCATGCAATGCACCGCTGAATTCGCGCCATTGGGAAATGCAGAGGTAAGCTTTTAGTGTCGGAGTACCTACATACTAAAGATATTAGTAGTGAGTGCTGAGGTCATTCATTATTCGCTGTGTGGCGGCCCATACTATGGTTGAAAAGTTTAGAGCTAAAGACGGTGCATCACCGTGCATGTAATAAATGAGCAAATGGAGTGCGACTGAACAACTATTCGGCCCTAGGTCCATTCCAATGGGCCTGTTCGTGAACGGGTTAAGATGAATTTTGATTTCAGCTATTTCTGATAATTAGTTAAGATGTGCTGTTAGACACCGAAACAGGGTACAAGAACGATTCCACTTACTGTTGTCAAAATTCCATCCAGAAGCCGTTTCTAACGTTCCCAATGCCAGCAGCAACCACAGCTGAAAGCAGAGAAAAACACCGAATAAACGTTCACCGAATCAACCTTGGCATACAATTGCTGAGAAGAGGTTAAAACAAGCTTGCGATTTAAATTTGAATACACTCATTATCAGTGGTCATAAGCCTTGACACACATATCCATGCTACGTGTAGTAAAAAAAGCTTTTTGCTACATGTAAAAAAAAAGTTTTTTTCCTATTCGAATCTGATGATGACCCGTGGTCGAAATATTATTCTCTTTGTCTATTTCGCTTAAAACTTAACTAATATATGATGAGCATCAGGCTACATTTTAAAATATTTCTTATATATACATACTTATAAATATGCTCAGCAAAAGCATCTCCATTCTAAAAAAAATGACGACTCAAAATTTCTCGCTAAATTTCTCGTGTGGCACGGGCAGTTTTACATTGCCGTTTTTCTGGTTAGAAACAGGTTTGCATATTCATTGAACGATGACGGGGGTGGTTCACACCGGGTCTGCAACTCACCGCTGCAGTGAGTTACACCGCAAAATTGACTGTATGGCTGTTGGTCACGTTCATGCATTCCCACAGTTATCTAAGCGACTTTCAACACTTTTGATGGGCCACTAAACGGTCGTTGGGGAAACCCGTGACTTTAAAACTTGGGCGGTAAGCTCAATAGGTGGCGGAAGTAGAAATTGTCTGTTTTTTGAATTTGGTAAGTTTCTTTCAAACGGTCTCAAGTGTTTTTGGTACTGATGCAAACTTATCATACAATGCGCATTATTTGCCAAAAAAAAAAAGAAGTAGATACCTGAAGCAGAGGGAACCACATTTTCTGTTTGGGATTAGTGAAGGCAAATCATTTGCATATTAAAGGCTGAAACAGACTCTTTCCGCGTTCAGGAAATCGCATGCGAGAGCCTATTCAAATACATTATAATTTTTCTCGTATCAATCGCTTGCGGGAGCCGGGAGGTGCGTGCGATTGACGCGAGTGTGCTTCCATGTATTTGAATAGGCCCTCGTATGCGATTTCCTGACTGCGGAAAGAGTCTGTTTCAGGCATTAGAGCGGTTATATGTAGACTGTGGAGCCTGTAAGCGTAGACTAAGTAAAAAGGTCAAAAGATCACATATTCATAATAAGGTAAAAATCGTCTCCGCGATTCATCTGTAGGGAAACGTATATATTGCGATGCGCCGATGACTGCACAAATTTAATTCAGTATCAGCGGTGTCACGGGTGTTATTCACCATTATTTACAACCCAACCCATTATCCATGAGCTATTCACAACAGTCAATGACTCAGTGTAGCTAGTTCACTCACCAATCTCACTGGTCCCATGGTGCCTCTCCTTTGCAGTGATAACGTCCTGAGCAGGGTTCTTGAGTTTCACGCCACTTCTTCAGAAGACCGCTGTGCTGGCCGTCACTATAGCACTATATCGTCACTACACTGTCACTATACGGTCTCTTTTCGGTGTTACACTATCACCGGCTCGGCACTGCACGAATGTTTTGCTCAAAACTTCTTCAAAAGCCCCGTGCAAATGATAAGAGGGCAACTAATAGTGCCTTAGTGTCACTAGCCACAATACAAATAAAAAACCGGTGGCTATGAGCACTACGCCGACACTACCGTAACACAAGTCACAACTCAGTCTTCAACGGTCACAACCGCATTCAATCGTCCCCCTCATTAGCCAGCCGAGCTCAACTGAGCTAAAAGGAGCTAAACTGAGCTAAAAGGAGCTAAACTGAGCTAAAGGGAGCCAAAGTGAGCTAATATGAGCAGACCGTGAGCTCGGGTGAGCGGCGCGCCGGCCAGGAGCTGTGCGACTGAAGCCATGGAACGGCGGCGACGGAGTTTTATACCGAAGAGAGAGTGGGGGAGTGGAGAGAGAGAGGGGGCGGGGCTGAGGTCTGGAGATCGCTCTCCAAAGTCTGTGATCTAACTTACAGGGGGTTCCGGGTTATGATCATATTGCCGGATCCAACACTATCATGGAACTGGACATCAAGCTGATGGCACAATTCACAGAGGAGTTTCTTCCTACGTGAGTTTAGGTATTAGTCACTTTCGGAGGACTACATGCCATGATCTCTGATGGCCCATTCTTCTCTGAGTGGATCTCGTAGGGTCCGTATCAGGGCTGCAGAGTCGGAGTCGGAGTCACCAAAATCTTACCGACTCCGACTCCGGAGTCGGAATTAACACTGCATGGCTCAACGTCATGCACTGCACCTGTTTGATCGACGATACTGCGCTCGAAACTTGATTTTGTCGAAAAAAAGGTCATTTTGCTGTTTTGGACGAATGTTTTCAGCGAAGGAAGCAGACCACGGTGAATTCCCCAGAGCCTGGTTTGTAATTTTTCATGTTATTTTTAACCCTTGCTGGCACAGGAGGGGGGGCTGATGCAACCCACCCTAAGGTTTTTCGAAAATAACTCGCGTAAAAAGCGGTCGATCTCGACGAAAGTTTTCATGCTCTCGAGGTGATCAATTTTACATCTACCCTGAAAATTTCATGACCCTGACCCAGATGAACTTTGATCTGTGACCTATTTCTCGAGACAATGTTTGGCTGGAATCACAACTCGGCGTATGTCGGTCCGCATTGCCGCCGCGAGTTTGCAGTCTTTTCGTGGTTTCAAGCGTTCAAACATGTGATATGATGTTGGCCCCATGCATTAGGGTGGGTGTCGAAGTCACCTGAAGGTCAGGTCAGGTTATTGACCTTTGATGACCTCGCTTCACTTTTCGAGTTTTACACGATTCTAGGCTAGTTTTTAGAGCTGGATTCGCATTTAGCAACCATTTGAACATTTACGAAGTAGTTTTGGTGCCTTCGTAACATGTTACAAAGCTGTCAGAAGCGGTTCACATGTTACGAATCATATCCGGCAGGACCCCTACTGGTTGACCTGACCTGACCTGACCCGACCTGGCCTTCACGCATGAAGGCATCATCTGTGATCAAAACTAACATGATACTCGTAATCGACACCCCGTAATCGGCAGCCACACTTTACGACGTTCTAAAGTAACAGGTCCCAATTTTTCCGACTTTTGGGTCATTGACCTGACCTGGAAGGTCAACCGTTGACCTAGGACCTTAACCCTCGCATGTGTAGGGGGGGGGTCGGATGGACCCCCCCCATGGTTTTTCGCGAATAACTCGCGTAAAAAGCGGCCGATCGCGACGAAACTTTCAGTACCCTCGCATTGATCAATTTTACACCTACCCTGAAAATTTCATGACCCTGACCCAAATGACCTTTGACCTGTGACCTCTTTTCCGAGACCATGTTTGGCCGGAATCGCGATTCTGCGTATGTCGGCTCGCATCAGCCGCGCGTTTGCAAGCTTTTCGTGGTTTCAAACGTTCAAACATGTGATTTGATGTTACTCCCGTGTGTGTCAAGGTCACCTGAAGGTCAGGTCAGGTCATTGACCTTTGGTGACCTCGGGTGACCTCGGTTCACTTTTTCGAGTTTTACATGTTTCTAGGCTAGTTTTTTTAGCTGAATTCGAATTTAGCAACCATTTGAACATTTACAAAGTAGTTTTGGTGACTTCGTAACATGTTACGAAGCTGTCAGAGGCGGTTGACACGTACTACGAATACCCGTCACGACGCCTACTGGTTGACCTGACCTGACCTGACCCGACCTGGTCTAAATGCTTCAAGACATCATCTGTGATCAAAACTAACACGATATTCGTGATCAGCACCCCGAAAAACCCCTTAGCAGCCACACTTTACGACTTTCCAACAGGTCCCGATTTCCCCGACTTTGGGTCATTGACCTGACCTGGAAGGTCAACCAATGACCTAGGACCTAAAAATTGGGTATCATCGGCTTCCTCTCGTCACGGACAACACGCTCGTTTTTTCCGCGAAACTCTAGCTCGATCAGGGGCCAAACGGCAAGGGGGGGGTCCAACCGACCCCCCCCCCCCTACACATTAGAAGCTGGCAAACGCCGCACACATGCGAGGGTTAAAATTGGGTATCATCGGCTTCTGCTTGTCACGGGCAACGCGCTCGTTTTTCCGCGAAGCTCAAGCTCGATCAGCCCCCCCCCCCTTGTGCCGTCGAAGGACTCAAAATGGCCTTTGCCGGCGAAAGGGAGGGCAAAGGTGCACTTTCCCCGTTCTTGTTTGTTTTGCTTGTTTTGTTGGGCAGGCCCTTTCGGTCTGACAAGACCATTTCAGAGCCGGAAGGATGATAGGAATTAGGGGGAGACATGTCACATTGGTCTGGGCAGACACCCTAGAGAGTCGCCGGGGCTGAGCCCATCCGAATCCGTTGCAAATATTCATTAAAGGGAGATAATGAGCTTTCTTTTTTCTTAAATAAAAATTACTCGACATCTATACTATTTCTACTGTAGTTTCTATAAAATATGAAAATTTCCTAGCACATTTTCGTATGTGAAAAAGGTTTTTATTTTTGCAAAAAAGAAGCAGTACTTGCAGTACTTGTAACACCCACCGAAATGCGTTGTCGTTCTCTATAAAAAAAAAAGTCGCAGTATATGGCGCTTTTGTTTCAAACAGCGACGCTTGGGTTTTTGTTTATGTTATCGCCTTGTCGTTACTTGGTTGTAAGGATTCTAATTTGAATTAGAGTTAATTCGGTTTAGAATTAATTAGATTCTAATTCGGGGGTACAGTAGGTCTATTAAAAAAGTCCCCAGCACCAGTGGGCGCTGCCTTCGCTGAGCCGAACCCCCGTCTGCCCGTCCCATATCGCGCCGGGCTCAGGTCAAGTAGGGTCAGCGGGACCGCTCGGTCCGGCCCGCGGGCGGTGGACGGGCGGCCGGTAACGCTTTCCGCCAGCCAGCTGTAGAATCCAACAAACGAGACGGCCACCGCTCAGCGCAGCGAAACCGGTGTTAAAGAATGGCTGTAGATGTTCATGGCCACAATGATTATGAGATAGTCATTGTTAGCCCGTGCCCCACAGGAATGCCTAGACTCTCACGCCCTGTTGGAGGGGAAATGGGGATATAGCATCATTCTTATAACTCAGCTTTGGGTATTTAGTTTTTCTCACAGACAATGATAATACAAAAACAATGTAATAAGACCAGACGTTTCGACAACAAAGTGCCTTCGTCAGTGGAAAACAAGATATAGGCTTTACATCGATAAAAAATATAGAAGATAAAAATACAAAAAAAAATCTATATTTTTATCGATGTAAAGCCTATATCTTGTTTTCCACTGACGAAGGCACTTTGTTATCGAAACGTCTGGTCTTATTACATTGTTTTTGTATTGTCATTGTCTGTGCAAAAAAATGTCTGACTCTTCTAATTTGGGCATTTAAGTGGTATTCGAAGTAGCGTCGAAAGTAGCAAAAAGAAGAAAAAATACTTCAGCCAATTTTAGATCGGTTCAGAGCAAAAGGTCATGTCACCAGAGGTCATCGATGGTAAAATTTTGCTTGGACAGGGTGCGTTGTGCGCACCGGTGCATTGGGTTTCCAATTTCCATGGAAACATCAACAGACTCGGAAGCTCGTAACGCTAGCGTGGAGCCGAATTCATATCAACCGCCGCTACAATGCATGGCAGCGCAGCGCAGCGTGCTGCAGCGCGGGACCGTGAAACACCGCCCAGAGCTATCCATGTGTCAGGGCAATCCAACCCACGTGATGGGCTCGGCCCCAGCGGAGCATGAGGCTCAGGACTCCCGCCCAGGCCCCCTGTCTCCCCCTAATTCCTGTCATCCTTCCCACTCTGAAATCGACCGAAAGAGCCTAACCTAACACAACAAGCAGCTCGTTTACCGCTATGTCTGAATAATATTGTCAGATTTAATTAAGGTCAACGGCTTAGCACGTAATTAACAGCAACTGCCACCATCGGTATTATGAGAAAACCAATTGCTTTTCCACAAACACTAAAAGTTTTAAGCTAAACTTGCATGAAATTAATTCTACCAGGTGTTCCTCTTATCAAAACGTGATCAAAACGCTTCGAATGAATCAAAAGTTGATCTTTAACCCTCGCCAGCACAGGCTATTTTGCATCCTTCGACGGCACAAGGGGGGGGGTGGCACGACCCCCCTCGCGCTTAGCCCCTGATTGAGCTAGAGCTTCGCGGAAAAAACGAGCTGTTGCCCGTCACGAGAGGAAGCCGATGATACCCAATTTTAAGGTCCTAGGTCGTCGGGTGACCTTCCAGGTCAGGTCAATGACCCGAAAATCGGGAAAATGGGGACCTGTTAGAAAAGTCGTAAAGTGTGGCTGCTATGGGGTTTTCCGGGGTGCTGATCACGAATATCGTGTTAGTTTTGATCAGAGATGATGTCTTAAAGCCAGACCTAACCAGGTCGGGTCAGGTCAGGTCAGGTCAACCGGTAGGAGTCACGACGGGTATTCGTAATACCTGTCATCCGCCTCTGACAGCTTCGTAACATGTTACGAAGGCACCAAAACTACTTCGTAAATGTTCAAATGGTTGCTTAATTCGAATTCAGCTCCAAAAACTAGCGTAGAAGCATGTAAAACTCGAAAAAGTGAACCGAGGTCACCAAAGGTCAATGACCTGACCTGACCTTCAGGTGATTCAGATGGTCAAAGGTCATTTGGGTCAGGGTCATGAAATTTTCAGGGTAGGTGTAAAATTTATCAATGCGAGGGTACTGAAAGTTTCGTCGCGATCGGCCGCTTTTTACGCGAGTTATTCGCGAAAAACCTTACGGGGGGGGGGGGGTTGCATCAAACCTCCCTCCCTTTGCCGGCGAGGGGGGTCATTTGAAGAATTTGGCCTATGTTCATAGACATAACCTGACCAGAAATGGTTATGATG